TGCTCCTCCTCCGTCCTCCTCCTGCCCCCTACTCCTCCTCCTCCTCCATCACGCTTCTGCCCTTTCATCCTCCTTCCTCTCTGCTCCTCCTTACCATTCAGCCTTGCTCCCCTCCTCCTCTATCCCCTAGCTCCTGTCTCCGCCTGCTCCTCCATCCACCTTTCTCCCCTCCTCCTCCGCCCCCTGTCTTCCTCCTCCATCACCTCTCCGCCTGCTCTTCCTTCGCTAATCTACCTCTTGCGTCACTCCTCCTCTCCTTCAGTGTGGTATTAGCCGTCTTCTCGATCTACAGCGATTCGGTCTAGGTGGGCAGGTACGTTTATGTAAGACACAGTCTCGGAGGGGGTAGCTTTTAATTGATTTTGCTGAGGAATAGATACAGGTGTCTGGCTACACTTGTGCTATACTTTATGACGCGTTTGCCTCGTACGTAACCAATATCTCATGCCCCGTACGCCAGGCTTATATCGGGGGGGGGGGGTTCCCGGTTTTCCCAATGGCTTAGCAATTTGCGGCAGGCGGGCGGTACAGGAATTGTGAACTGGGGTGGGGGGCGGGTCTAAACCGTAACCCAAAGTTGGGCGAGCACGGGGCGCGAGGGGGGACGGTCTTAGGGCCCGTTTCCCCCAGAAATTTTTTGAAAATTAGACCCCCTCAGATGTGTTTTTTCTGCTGGCGAGCAAGGTGGGGGTTCCGGACTCCTGACCCCCCCTGTACACGCCTCTGCGTCTGGGCGCAAACGCGACCAGGCCGAGCCGGGAGCCCTAAGCGAGTGGTCTTTGTGGTCGATATATGGCGCGAGCTGGCGGCTGCGCCACAAATAAGGGGGGAGGGTGTGGGAGGGGGGTGTTCACTGTTCACCCTCCCGCACGATGGAGATTTTGCAATTATTACACTAAAATGGAGCGACCTGAGGTGAAATTCTTGCAAATTTTCAAAATTTTTTTTTTGCTTGAGGGGGGGTTCGTTCGAACCCACCGAAACCCCCCCTGGCTACGGGCCTGTATCTGTAGTACCTGATACAACAACGACCCCTTCAGCGCTAATATCAGTGATTGCGTCATATGCATAAATTATTATAATAGCATCATGGTGCTTATAGCCAGCTACATACTTGTACTGTGCACTGTACGCTGTGATCAGATGGTTTTATGCATAATTATTGTTGAGATTAAACTCAGTTGTTTTTTAAATTAATTCTAAGTGCATCAGTAGTTGTGATTATTTGTAGAGTGCTCACTATTTTGAAGGTAATTTTACACAAACTCAAATAATTTTTGTGCCGGTCGGAAGGATGTTATTTAAAGCTGCGTGCCGGTCGGCCAACACCAGAGCCGGCTATTACCGACCGGTGCCAACTGGCGTACGTAGCTACACGGTGGTACACACAGGGCATATAGAAAATACGCATAGTAGGCATATTGTTTGTGAAAGTGATAAGACTGTGACTAAGAGTGTATACCTTTGGTGTTTGAGCTTTGGCCACTTCAAGGTCACAAGGAACAGGGTCCTTAAGATCTAGTGGCAGATAGCTGATGTTCCATGGTCCACTCTGAAAATTGCATTCCACATAGGGTAACTGTAAAGTTCTACAGAGTAAAACAGCCCAATCTAGATCACATATATAATCCCATTTCTTTTCACCACTAGTATAATGGTGTAAAAACAAATTACAGTATATAACATTATACCAGGAGTGGATAATATTCATCTCTTACTTGAACCGAAAACGCACACGCTTTACAATTCCTAAGAAAGTTACGCATGAAAAACGCTTTCACACAACCACTACAGGAAGGTAAACCTGGGTTGTAGCAACCGAGTATAACTATAAACTTGTAAATTTTCAATCACCATTATTTTAAACACAGAACGTGACAAAGATTAGAACATTACTGCCAGCTTGGGCAATTGGCTATTGTCAGAGGGGTTTAAATTCATTATGTAATTGATGCTTAGATATATTCCATGTCCAAGAACATGCTCACAAAATCATTAAGCTAGCCATAAATTTGTGAGCAAAATCACACACAAACGTCATGAAAGATGAGGAAATTCATGCAATGAGGTGAGAAATTAAGGCACACTAACTTCATTCACATATTATATATAAATTCATGCAATGAGGTGAGAAATTAAGGCACACTAACTTCATTCACATATTATATATATGTATCCATTACTGAAAACACTGATTGTAAACTTTCCACAGCATGCCATCTAAACGGATTAAAATGCAACTGAGCCATGAATGAATTTCTTTAAAATTCAGTTTTATTTTGTCATTTTCCAGCCTAGTAACGTGGGTGGTGTTGCCAACACCGTTGCAACACCTGTTAAACAGTGATACTTTCTATCAAACCACCATGACATCGGCAACATGAGTCTACTACTTCCATTCTTTCCATTTTAGTTAGACTGTACACTTACTTATACGTGTCAACTATTCATCTTTCAAATTCAGAAAAGCCAAGTTCAAGTCACGTTGATAAACCTTTATGAAATAGGGAAAAATTTAAACTTAACATTTAAATCAATGTAACTACACATCAACCTAAATTCTGTAATACTAAAAATTATAGCATCAATTAAAATAAACAACACTGATGATATAACACAAACTTGAATAATAGTTAGACCAATTAATGACAGACTTGGGCAAAATATGAAACGTCAAATACCCGCAGAGGTTCAAAACTATTTGGACAGTGTCACAGACTAACTTGCATATTACAAATGTTTTATGGATAAAAGTGCAAGGATTACTAATTATTGATAATATGAAACTATAAAACTATATGAAAGAAGTGCTATAAAATAAGTGATACTTAGACATCAAAAATCATAATATAAATTATTTAATATCCACCTGAAAACAAAGCTCATTAACAAATGGGATCAGAAAAGAAGAAACCTTTGACAAAAACATTCATGCTTTATTAACGAGAATTACTCCTGAGTAATATAAACTGTAATAAAATAACTGGCAAATAAAATGCCATTTTTATATATTTCAATCAAAAATAGGAATGCATGCCTAGATTATATTTCTGTTTTCCAATTTCGCTTTATATTATAAAATGCATAATAACTGTGTAAAGTATTAACACGTACAGTATTAAGAATTAATCGAACACGGGCACTGTGTAAATAAGAGGCACCATGCGTTCACCTAAAAACACATACCTACACCTACGTTTATTTTAACATGTTAAACAATCTTACACAATTTTTTACACATTGACAGACTCAGACACATAATAACCTACACATAAGAATTCTGAAATTTGGCAATAAACATGAAACTCCAACACTGTACACTAAGAAAGGGACAACTTTTCCTTGCCCTATGCACCCACCACTGATCATTAAATTACACACACATATTTTTGTTTGTCCACTATCGGTATCACAGCGACTTGTACATGTTACTTTTACATGTTAACAGAACCAAAAACGCATTCATTTCACTAACCATAAATTTTGACACATTTTGTGTGTTACATTAACTTTGTCTTCATATGGTGGAATTTTAAAAATAAGTGTTGGTAGGTTCTGGGTTTTAAAGCAATCAAATACATTAAAATTTCGTTAGCAATGCAGTTATTCAATAATTTAGAACATGAATCAGTGCTGCTTTCTGCTATAATCACTTCAACTGTATCATATTTCTACTCAGAAATGAGTTGTTACCACTGGAGATCAGTAAGGCGGAATTTTCCGTTTATATTAGCAAATATTTTCGTGTAAATTATTGTGTAAGAGTACCAATGACATGAAGGAGTTAGTTACCATGATGCACCTTTTACCTTAAATTGACTAGGACTACGTCACGAATTTTCTATGGTAAAATTTGTAAAATTTTTGTTGCAATTTTTTTGAACTAACGGGACTAAACGTATCGTCAAATTCTTACCTGATAAGATTGTTTCTCAACTAGTTAAAAATTAAAAAAACCCGGACGATTTGATATTAATGTTCCCAACATTAATTGCTTACGTGCTATGGGCTACGTATGAGTGTATATAGTAAAACAAGAAGTATAATGCAGCAATTTAACCATAAAAAGTGACCGGAATTACTTATATTTTGTAAAAAAGTGGAAATATTTTTTTAATTTTTTACTATTTACGGTGACGTAATCACTTTAAATAGTAATGTTCGAGGAATCTCACTTGCTACAGCTGGAGGTCCAAACCTGCAAGTGCAGGGCACCCTAGCGGAAAACGATGTATCCGATTTTTAAAATCGGTTGAAGTTTATTGGTGGTGCTAGTGGTATATTGCATGCTAGTGCAACTGTGACCCATGAGCAAGTGAGGTGAAGTGATAGTGGAAGAAAGATGCAGATATTGCCCTCCTGTACAGTATACTGTCATAGTCATTGCATAGTTGCCAGAATATACGAGCAAGCACAGCATGCGCTACAGTGGTTAGTGCGATGTACCATGGTTAGGCATACTCTAGCGAAAATCGCCTTAAAGTAAAAAGCTCGCACATTTCCACGCTGTTTAAACACTTATTGGGAATTCTTGCTTGACAGAAAGTGTCTGTAGTAAAGTTGGTAAGTTTCGCTTAACACCGGTACTCCATTACACCCACAAAAATACCAACGCATTTGAAATATGAATTTCTTTTCATCTCATTGTCCTCATCATGTGACTCTTGGATTTATATTACAAAGGTGCCGGACGCTGACATTTGATAAAATAAATCATCTCAATATCCACCAGCGTTTGACAGAGATGGAATTCTCACAAGTACGCCGAAGTAATAACTCCGTAGTAAACGATACTACGTGAAGCTACGATAGTAGCTGGTAGAGCAGAGTATGCGAAAAACAAGAGGAGGTGTGAGAAGAAGAAGATTAAAAGAGAACAAAGAAATTTTACGACCCACAGTTGAGACACGATTCCTGTAGTGAAACTTACTAAGCAAAGCACTCGCATTTCGCGTCATACATTGCCAACCATTTTAATCAAATTGCCTCAACATGAATTTTGGCCACACCATTAAGGAGCAAATGAAATCAGCCAGGGAAGATTCTTATTTAATCTTAAGAAACCACACAAACTTACTCCAAGATTCCCACTCGCACGTCACACGTATTTGTGCCATATCTATGTATAACATCCCCCCCCCACCCCAACCACACACACCCTACCAGTCTAAATAAAACAGTCAAAACACCCATCTGATCCCAACCCTCTATCTACGCATTAGTCTCCTTAGGTAGGGCAAGTAGGGAGGCAACGCGCTGTCGAACTGCACCTTAACGTTTGCGGCACTCCTGCGAGAAGTCTTAAAACATGCCGACCCCCCCCCCTCACCGATCGCAACCCTCTATCTACGGATTAGTCTCCTTAGGTAGGGCAAGTAGAGAGGCAACGCGCTGCCCAACTGCACCTTAAAGTTTGCGGCACTCCTGCGAGCGCTGTCGTACGTGTTCGCGAGCAGCATGGCGACGGTCATAGGCCCCACTCCGCCAGGCACAGGCGTGATCCAGCCCGCTCGCTCCTTCGCGACGTCAAACTCGATGTCACCGACCAGCTTCGTGCCTTTCTTCTTGGTCGCGTCTGCATTCGATCGAGAAATCGTTAATTTCGCTAATCGGCAAGCGATCGTCAACTGCGAAATGCCTTAACTGGATCGTGCGGTGCGGTAGGAATGGGAATTTGTGACCGAACCTATGTCAAGAGACTATCGCCGGCCAATACCATTACGATTAAAATTACTTGAAATCGAAATTTAAATCTATAATCAAAGCATGCAATTAAATGAAACGGGCTATAAAAAACAAACACCAGGCGATTAAAATTATAAGATCGAGTAGCAAAAGAGGTGAAGTTACATAGTTGAAAGAACACCACAGCAAAATTAATAAATGGCGACACAACATGAAAACAAACGAAAACCAGTTGCTCGGCTATTAATTAATATAATGTGTACCTGGAATGACGTTGATTCCGCAGTCGATAACGACGGCACCTGGCTTTACCCACTCGCCTTTGAGAAGATTCGGAACCCCTACCCCGACGACCAACAGATCAGCTTTGCTCACCTGAAATATCACGAATGTACGTTGCTTGCTGCTAGCACGACTACAGACCGCCTATAATAGGCCATGGGCATGCCAAGGTAGACCAAAATATCCACCAAGGTCATCATACAACAATACGAAATAAGTGTAGGAGAGCGCAGGCTCTCGCACAGAGGAAATATATCGCCTCACACTATTCCCCAAATGCAATCACTAGAAACAACACACCTCTACACTCTAAGTGATAAATAATAATAGAACGCCGCAGGTAATCACGATACACCACGCCCGTAGCGTCCCAGCACACTAATGACTCGAGGGCCGATCTGCCATGAATATTCCCCAGGCATCATCTCGGCTCTAACCCTCTTCTTTGCAAGTTCAGTTTTAGCCTAGCTCCCACACCCGTTTTCAACGCTACTTCTCCGAGCTACCCTTCGCCCTCCTACCGTCACCTCACCCCGCCGAGCGTCTCCGCGAAGTGCAACTCTAAGGTACGACATTATTGTATTCAGTTACGCGACACGCGACGCGAGTCTTACGACGCGGAGACATCTGTATAGTATCATATGATTGTGTTTGAGTAGAGTGAAATAGACGCACGAAGAGTAATATTCACAATACTGTGTTCCTGTTATCTATCGACGCAACAACGTGACACTACCCTTAAGGCGACTACCTCGCACATGCCAAACCGTGAACCTGGTAACGGAGGTGAAAGACTCACTTAGACTGGTGCACGTGACCAGCGGTTTGGTTGGGTAGTGGCAATAGTTGCGTAGATAGCAACTTCTCTAGTATTTCTTCTAATATACGTTTTACACTCTAAGCACGAGTTTCGCCGCGATCAGCGTGTCACCTGTCAGCGGCCACCGAGTCATCATCCAGTCAACGACCCGGACATCGTACCGTCTCGTCGCCAGCATAATCACGTAAGTGCGAATCGTTCTAGACTAAGGTTTGCTCGTACACTGCGCCAATTTCACCTACGTGGCTAGCTAGGTCTTTAGTTCTGGTATGGCAGGTGGTTACAGTGGCATGGTTCCACTTCAGCAGGTCAGCCATTGGAGAGCCAAGTATCTTGCTGCGCCCCAGCACAACGGCATCAACCCCCTTTACTTCCATACCTGCCATAAAAATATACATTAATGCATACGTGCATACATACATGCATTGCCTAAATACATAAATTTGAAGCCAGAAACAATGCTTACATATTCTCCTCTTTGGTATAACTTTTTTTAAATTGTGTTTAGCATAAATGGGGTAGAAATTTTACTCCTCCATGATTGACCATTATCCATCATGGGATACGAATTTTTGCTAAACATTATATATATGGTGTACAGATGGCGACCAAGATACCATGACGAATGCAGGTTACCAGTTCTCCTTATCAGTTCCAGACTTCCTCTGGGTGTGCATGGGATAAAACAGTTCTCAAGGTCACCCCTGGATAGCTTTCCTGCATTTATGCAATTCAGCCTGCAGGAATAACACAAATACAGTCAAAGCTCTATTAGCGAGCACCTCTTTTAAGCAGACACGTTCATATAGAACACCTTTGAGGTATCCCTTGATTGATTCTTACATACAGGTTTGAGTATATAAGCAAGCATACCATTTGGTTGGTGAACCATTTTATCAAGACCACCCACTGTCATATTAGACAATTAACATAATTATATGTGCTGTAGATCAAAACCAATCTAGTGTCATCAGATATGACAGCACTATTTTCAAATGTAGGTAAAACACAATTACAGTGATTAGACATCAACAGCTTGTTATTCATGGAATAGTGACCAACAGTTTGTTGTGGATAGAATAGTGACCAAGAGTCTGTTATGATCAAATGGTGACCGACAGTTTGTTATTGATCGAATATTGACCAAGAGGTTTTTATTGATAACAAATAGTGACTATCAGTTGCTTACTGATCGAATAACGACCAAGAGATTGTTAACGATCTAATAATAGTGACCGACAGTTGACTGTTGATTACTGATCGAATGATGACCAAGAGACTGTTAACGATCAAATAGTGACTGACTTGATCGAATAACGACAAAGATATTGTTATTGATCAGATTGTAACCGACAATTTGTCACCGAGCGAATTGTGACCGACAATTTGTTATTGATCGAATGCCGATCGACAGCCCTGCCGTGACCTAACTGACCGGACGACACGTCGCGTGTTGCATTTACGCATTCGTACCCATCGACGTCTTTCTCTGGCAACACGGTATTCGTCGCGAGGTCACTGTCCAGCTTCTCGTCGGAATCGAGCGGCAGCTGCACGATGATGCCGTGGATGCTGTTGTCGTTGTTCAGCTTCTGGATCTCCAGCAGTAACTGCGCGTGCGAAAACAGGGAAATGAGTCAAATACCCTCAATGACATTCAGATCTTAACCTAGACGTCCAAAGCAGTAGATATGAAAGTAAACGTGTTAGCGGACATGTGTCGAGCGGACACCTGCATGTAAATGTCACTTTTGATGTTTCCTCGATTTGGCTTGATGTGATCTAGATGTATTCCTAGACATTCAATACATTAGATATGAAGGTAAACGTGTTAGCGGTCATGTGAAAATAGCAGACACCTGCATATAAATAGCACTTTTGGTGTTTCCATTGATTCAGTCATATGGTGATATTGCTTGTGTAAAACAAACGCCTGCCTATAAACCTTCCCGTTTTAATGCATTCATTGGTATGATTTTGTCTTAAAAAATATGCTAATATTTGTGATTAATCCTATTAAAACCAACCCCATTATAGTTGCGGCATGTAGTTACGTGACACAAATATTTATAGACTGGTACCTATCTCGAAATGTATACAAAGGTAATTAACCTAGTGTAGAGACAGGGGTCCGGTCTCGCGAGAGCAAAAATCACGCGTTAGGTTTGTTAACATATATATATGTAAACAGTCTCATTTGAAATGCAGATCAGTGCACATATTGGTCGAAAGAATGTTGTGCGAGAGTTCTGTGACATGATAGCCTTACTATATACATTTCGTGTTATGCAAGGAGTACTGCGGTAAGTATCAAAACGGTTGAGAAAATATGAAAACGGTTGATAAAATCATGTGAAATCCTCGGAAAACATGTGGAGACTGTCCAGCTTTTGCACGGGTATATTGCTCTAACGAAGAGTAAACGTTTATTGAGGAATGAATCAAATTAATCAAACGTTTTATTTATAGATGAGATGTATCTCTATGCTCAAGCCAAAAAATTTCATGAAATTTCCAGCACCTAATTATGTTAAACTTACAACACAAATTTTGAATTTTTATGTAAAAAATGGAATTTTGGATATCTCTCAATTGTAAACCACCAAGAGTGAGAAAGCAAAACTTTCGTTAAGTACAGTATGACTGCATGAACCAAAAAAGTGTGTCAGGAGTTTTCTTTAAGCTTTATATTTACTGAAAAAAAAGTACTTAAAATTTATGTAACATATTCAAATTGAAAATTTTTGCGAACAAGGAACCATAACTCATAAAATACAGCACTTAATAACAATCCCTGACATACTTTTTTACTGCAATATGTTACCATTAAAACGAGTGTAAAATTAAATAATTTAGAGTTATAATTACAGAGCTACATACATCAGCTACTGTGGCAGAAATCGAAACGGAGAAATCAGCGTTGTTCTGTTTTTTAACAATGATCGACAGCCTGTGTGCAAAATGGGTGAACGTATGTGAAATATCTAATGTTTGTACTTACAGTGACATATCCATGACTAACTTAAACCACTAAATTGGTAAAATGTTCTGTGCACCTTGAGAAATTGTGAGAAATGACGAGGCGACACCATCGTGATTTCATGCAAAACGTGCGAATACTGCATGATGTAACTATAAGATGTGTCAACAAACGCGGGCCTAAATGTAAGGTATGTAACGAGGGGCAAAAGCCATTTTCGGCCGAGCAGCAATTTCAACTATCACTGGCAGATGACAGCTGTAGAAGGGTTGATGCTACTGGCATAGTCAATACCGTGAAAATGCTGGTTGTATCATGTATGTTACGTATACACATGTATGTAATGATATATATGCATAAGTTTTGATGCGAAAATAAATGTTTCAGATCTGAAAGTCTGAAATCTTGATGAGAGATGGCGCTACATGCCTAAATGATCGCCATTTTGGTTTTCGAATATCGCGCAAATAAAAACAATAAAATATTCCAGTCAAATTACTGTAACAAAGAATCTAAAACATAATAATTATTACAGGCATGATTGTAGAGTTTTTAACCAGTTAGACGAAATAAACGTAATAGGACGTTGTCATCTCTCCCATAGGAGTAAAAACTGTTTTGGAGCTAGCCTTACACATTCACATACCAAAATTTAACAAAATCGAATGAATTTAGATGGCCATTTTCATTTTTGCCAAAAAGTGGGCGTAGTGAAATTGCCAGAATCTACCTAATTTGCATAATTAAAAAAAAAATCAAAACCCGTGTGATAAATGTTTTGGGGCCAGTCCTTATTCATTCACATATACTAGAAATGAGCAAAATCCGTTGAACCTGAACTGACTTATGGCCATTTCCATTTCTGCCAAAAAGTGGAGGTGGCTCGAAAGTAGGTCGACTGGCGTGCTCCAAAATAGGACGTTCAAACCTCTCCCATAGGAGTAACAACTATATATGCAATTTGAAACATGTGGGTGGGTCAAACGGTTCTTGAGTTATCGTTGGCCGAAGGCAGACACTGAAATGCATAGTGAAATTGCCAAAATCTACCTAATTTGCATAATTTTTTAAAAATATCAAAACTTGCGTGATATGTTTTGGGGCCAGTCCTTATTCATTCACATACAAAAAATGAGCAAAATCCGTTGAACCTGAACTGACTTATGACCATTTCCATTTTTGCCAAAAAGTGGGCGTGGCTCGAAAGTAGGTCGACTGGCGTGCTCCAAAGTAGGATGTTCAAACCTCTCCCATAGGAGTAACAACTATATGCAATTTAAAACATGTGGGTCAAACTGTTCTTGAGTTATCGTTGACCGTAGCCAAATGTTGACGGACGTACGACACCCCATGGCAATAGCTCATCTTGACGATGTCAAGGCGAGCTAAAAATCAGTAAAATTTTGCCTAAACGCTGGACAGTATCCTTAAAATCATGTTTATGCACTATCAAAAACAGATGCCATACAATAAAACTTCACCCGTGGCAGCATCTCTGTACAGTTGCACACATTTTTATCCTAGAAGAAATATGAACTAAAAAATAACTTATCATGTGTCGCCATCTATGAACAGGCAAGTGCAAGCACTGCAGCATTTATAGCGAGACATGTCCAAGTGTTACCTCTGCTTGACTAATAGACTTGGGCAGCCTCACGTGTACAGCATTGATGCCAACCTCAGCTGCAGCCTTGATCTTGTGGTTCACATAGACATTAGAATCACTACGTGATCCCACCTGGAGGCCAAAAAACAATCAAGAACATTATCTCCGTACAGAAGTGAATGCAATAATTCTACCATTACATGAATACATAAATTCTACAAGAATGAAAGTGTCAATGACACTGTAGCTCACCACAAAAAAGGACACAAATGAGTGAGTGAGAAGAAGTCAGTTTTAATTGAGCAACCATCAACGTACATTATAGAAACGAAGAGTATATATTGGGAGAACTCCCATTATATATAATTACTCTTGATAATTATGTGTAAATTTTTATGTGAAAATAAATGTTTGAGATGTGAAAGTCTGAGATGTGGGCGAGTGATGGCGTTACACCTAAATGATCGCCATTTAACGTTTTTATAATATTCAGATTTAGGCACTGCCTAAAAGCGGAGCTCCCGATGTGTAACGTGTAAGATTGAGAGGATACGCTTATTCCACGTAGCTGCTATATACCACGTGGCAATGGTGTTTCCCTGCCCATAACACAACTTTTGTCAAAGGTTAATTGGTTGCATGGAAGTGTTTACTTCGTATGAGTTTTTCTAGGCAGTAGCACACGGTTGCCATCTGTAAATATCGCAATAATAATTTATAAACCAAAATGAATCACAATTTGTGACGGTAGATGGCGCTATACCCGCTTTGATGTTTCTTAGCGATGGCGTTCGAAATAAATAGGTTATGCTGCGTTCCGACATGTTTTGTAAAACTTTACTCTAATCAGCAGGGTGGAGGAAATACCAATTTTGCATTAAGATATTGTCAATGAAATCTTGTAAAACGACCCAGACGAGTGTGACACCACAGACTGTTATCTGCGTGTCTATAACTTATTATGCTATATAATTGCCAAAACCTACCTAATTTGCATAATTTTTAAATATCAAAACCCCTGGCCCTTATTCATTCACATACCAAAAATGAGCAAAATCCGTTGAACCTGAACTGACTAATGGCAATTCCCAATTTTGCCAAAAAATTGCTGTGGCTCGAAAGTACGTCCGACTGGCGTGCTCCAAAATAGGACGTTCAATATGGAGCATAGCAGTAACAACTATACCCAATTTCAAACATGTGGGTCAAACGGTTCCTGAGTTATCATTGACCGTAGCCAAATGTTGACGGAAGGACGGACGGACGAACGACGACCCATGGCAATAGCCAATCAAGGTCAAGGCGAGCTAAAAATGCGAGCTAAAAGGCGAAAAAAGACGAAGAAAAGCGAAAAAAGGAAAAAAGGCGAGCTAAAAGACGGATGTCAAGGTCAGCTAAAAATGAGTACATTACTAATACAAATCAAATGCTTAGTGGAAATAAATTATTGGGTATAGAAACAAAATAATTTTTGTTCATAACTGTAAATATTGTATCGCACAAACTGTCATACGATTTCACTTGAAATTAACTATAGTACGGTGAACGACCGAGTGATTACCTAAATGATTGCTTACCTGAACAATTGCAAGACCTGGAGCGAAACCAGGAACACTGCATTCTTCCTTTAACTTTTGCACATCCAGGGCCAGTTTTTCTCGAACATCGCTGTTACAATACAACAGAAATATCACTTAATCCATGTACATTTCATGCGGAAAGGCATACAGAGTTGTGAACTTTGGGCACCAACTTAGAGCCCATAACGACAGTCAAATTACACATGCCATCAGAAAATCCAAAATGGCCAAGCTTCTGATCCAGACATCATCCCAGTTAAAGGACTGAAGGTCGATCCTACTGCAGCAGCACACATCACTTAATCAAAGAAATCTGGACGAGTAGGATATATAGTACTAAAGATAAAGTATTACGAGAAAAATGGAGGAATGGATGCATCATTAAACTCCAGAAAGCGTGACACTCGAGAAACTTCCACAACTGGAGAGGAATAGAAGAGGAACTTCTATCCCTCCCTAGTGGGGCATTCACAAAAAGAGTTGAGACCACTATAAACTAAACATTGTAATAAAAACGACCTGGCTTGTGAATGGGAAGGTCCTCCATTATGCAAATGACCGCACTCCACGTCATCATGATCTCAATCCTCACTATACATTAATTTTATAGACTAAAGTTACTGAACCACTAAACCATGCACCTTTGAACTCAATTGATAAAATTTTTCTCAATATAAAAATACATGGACATAGCCATATATGAGAAGTAGAGAAGTTAGGAAAGTGGTGGAAATGGAGAGGAATGTAAAATAACGAGTTCAGGCCATAATAAAAATATAGTTTGTTTGCCCTCACCCGACCGACCCGCCAAAAAGGGGTCCCCGACTCAAAAATGTACTTCCCGTGCCCCATGACCTTGACAGATTTGCCCAGTGTTTTTTTTATCGAAATCAATATTTAAGCATGTGATATTGTGACTAGTCTGTAATTTGTATAACTACCATTGGGGCGTTGGCATTGCCGGCCCATTGCCATTGGGCATTAAAGTCTAGACTGCTTCTTGGGACTCTACTTGACTTGTGCGAGTTAATACTCAATAACCGCATTTTGCCATTCTCCCGCATGACTAGATATTATATTATAATTCTAGATGCCATTTTGTAGTTAATGTCGAAATAATAGAATACACGTTATGGTCGTCACACCAGTGGCGCCCGCAGATAGAAGCACTAGAAGCACAGTGCTTCCAGTAAATTTTGGGTTAAACAATTTTGTTCCTACATTTTGTTCCTAAATCTCTCTCGCAAGACTCACGGTTCAAGGATAGAGAACATGGGTCCCAATAAAACCAATGTCACTTACATCAATATAAATATATTATATCAATAGTGACAATATAATAGGTTAGGGTTATGGTTAGGGTTATGGTTATAAGGTTAGGGTTAGGGTTAGGCACATTGGTTTTATTCGGACCCATGGCATGTTCTCTATCCTTGGGCCAGACTCACCAGATTGCATCTCCAGACGTCTACCATTCAAAAAATTTCAGGGGGGGGGGGGCTAGACCGAATAATTCTGTCCCATTTAACCTTTTTTATTATTTTGGTNAGAGAGAGAGAAAGAGGCGAAGAAATGGTGGGTGAAAGAGGAGGAAAGAGGAAGTGAGAAAGGAGGAAAGGGTAAGTGACAGAGGAGAAGAGTAGGAGGAGATAGTGAGTGAGAGAGGAGGAGAGGGTGAGTGAGAGAGGAGGAGAGGGTGAGTAAGAGAAGGGGAGAAGAGGAAAGGGTGAGTGAGAGAGGGGGAGAGGGTGAGTGAGAAAGGAGGAGAGTAAAAGGGAGGATGAGTGAGAGAGGAGGAGAGGGTGAGTGAGAGAGGAGGAGAAGGTGAGTGAGAGAGGAGGAGAGGGTGAGTGAGAGAGGAGGAGAGGGTGAGTGAGAGAGGAGGAGAGTAGGAGAAAAGGGTGAGTAAGAGAGGAGGAGAGGGTGAGTGAGAGAGGAGGAGAGGGTTAGTGAAAGAGGAGGAGAGTAAGGGAGAGGATGAGTGAGAGAGGAGTAGAGGGTGAGTGAGAGAGGAGCAGAGGGTGAGTGAGAGAGGGGGAGAGTAGGAGGAGAGGGTGAGTGAGAAAGGAGGAGAGGGTGAGTGACAGAAGAGGAGAGGGTAAGTGAAAGAGGAAGAGAGTAAGGGGGAAGATGAGTGAGAGAAGGGGAGAGGGTGAGTGAGAGAGGAGGAGAGTAGGCGGAGAGGGGGAGTGAGAGGGGGAGAGGGTAAGTGAGAGAGGAAGAGAGGAGGAGAGGGTGAGTGAGAGAGGAGGAGAGTAAGGGGGAGGATGAGTGAAAGAGGAGGAGAGGGTGAGTGACAGAGGAGGAGAGGATGAGTGAGAAAGGAGCAGAGTAAGGAGGAGGATGAGTGAGAGAGGAGGAGAGGGTGAGTAAGAGAGGAGGAGAGTAAGAGGAAGGGGGAGTGAGAGAGGGGGAGAGGGTAAGTGAGAGAAGGGGAGAGTAAGGGGGAGGATGAGTGAGAGATGAGGAAAGTAAGAGGAAAGGGGGAGGGAGAAAATGGGAGATAATGAGTAAGAGAGGGAGAGAGTAAGGGGGAGGATGAGTGAGAAAGGAGGAGAGGGTGAGTGAGAGAGGAGAAGAGTAGGAGGAGAGGGGGAGTGAGAGAGGAGGAGAGTAAGGGGGAGGATGAATGAGAGAGGAGGAGAGAGTGAGTGAGAAAGGAAGAGAGGGTGAGTGAGAGAGGAGCAGAGGGTGAGTGAGAGAGGGAGAGAGCAGGAGGAGAGGGTGAGTGAGAGAAGAGGAGAGTAAGGGGGATGAGTGAGAAAGG